CAAAAAACCCAAACCAATCCAAACCCCGCGAGTTGGGTGCGAAGTGTGCAAAATGGTGGATTATTTTGTAGCTGTTTATTCGGATTTGCAAATGGCTGCAGTGGCTGCTGCTGGCACCCGGAGACAGGACGATTGTGAAAATTCCCCCAAGGGCCTCGATTGCTGCATCTGCTGAGATGACGCAACTCAAGAGTGGAGCCTGCGGGTGAAGGATGGTGCAGAGGGAGGGGCCAGCGCTGCTCTGCCACGGGAGGAGTGAAACAGCCTTGAAAAGGATGGGGAGAAACTTAAAAATATTCCTCACACCTTCAGAAATGCAGCGTTTTCCTCCTCCTCGAGTGCTGAGCGTTGTGGAATCGCTCTGAGGAATTCAGTGGGAAGAGGTTTTGGAGGTGTTTTTGGAGGCTTTGCAGAGATTCAGGTGTGGCCTCAGCTCAAGCTGAAAATGCTGGAGGTGGAGACGATTCCCTGGAATTGCCTGGCCTCGAGCTGGGAAGGTCTCTGGTGAATATCCCAGGGAAAAGTGAGCCCTGCCTTGCTGGGCTGGGGCTTTGTGCTGCCTGAGACCAAGGAGGGCTGAAAACAGCACATTCCTGCAGGAACGTTCTTCTCATGAGGTCAGATCAGGCCTGCCCTGGCACAGACACACACCTGGCTCACTCAACCTGAGTATTTTTCATTTCCAAGTGAGTCTTCACACACAGTACTGCAGTGGCAGCTCCCTGGGCACTGTCCCTGTCCTTGCCCCTGCTGTGGAGCTTCCTTTGTCCTCCCACTGCGAGTGGGAGGAGTCCTTTGGCCTAGGTTTGGGTTTTTTTGACACACTTTAAATCCTGGAAGTCCCAGGGCTTTGTCCAAGCCTTCCTGCCTGTCTAACCATGGTCCCTTTGCAGTTCCAGGGTTCCCTTCAATTGCTGTAGTAACCTGGGTCCGGGGCCTCGGTGGTGCTCCTGATGTCCCTCACCCACCCCTGAAGATCCCAGGTGGGCGAGGGAATAGTCAGAGGGATCACAATCTTTCAGCTAATTTATTTTATTCGGTGAGTATGAGGAGCAAACAGCTCTTGGTGAGCTTGACAGCATTCCCCTGTTTCAATCCCTCCTCCAAAAATGAAAGAAAAAATAAATCTGTCCTTCTCCCTGCTGCAGGATAATCGGCTGAATGTCACAGAAGAACTAACACCTAACAACAGGACAAGAATTCTCAATGTCCAGTCAAGGCTTACAGATGCCAAACACATCAGTTGGAGAGCAGTGCTGAACAACAACAACCTCTACATCGAAATTCCCAGTGGTGCTCTGCCTGAGGGGAGCAAGGACAGGTGGGTCAGGGAAAACTTGGCTGTGGGTTAACATGAGGCCTTTCCGTGGGGTGGGAGAACACTTTGCTCTTTGTATTTTCAAAGCTTGAGTTTAATTTTGGTACTTGAGACTCTCTTGTTAGCCTGGTTTCAGGGCTGCAGGCAGAACCAGCCCAAAGTTTGGGATTTCAGGCTGGTTTAGGCACTGAGAATTCCAGGCTGCTTTGAGTTTCTCAGTGCAGCTCCTTCAGCTGTGTCACAAACACATTTTCTGTGCCACTGAGGAGTCCTGCCCTTGAGTTCTGCTTGTGTGGTGTGAGGCTGCAGCCTGTGCCTCCTCCTTAGGAATTGCTGTGTGGATTGGCTCTCAGGGCCCTGCTAACTTTCTCTCTGAAGAAGCATTCAGACAATGCTCAGGGTGGGATTGTTGGGGGGTCTGTGCAGGGCCAGGGGCTGCACTGATCATCCCTGAGGGTCTCTCCCATCCCAGGACATTTCCCTGTTGACAGACCCTGAACCCCTGGTGTTTCTCTTGCAGCTTTGCTGTTCTTCTCGAGTTTGCTGAAGAACAGCTCCGAGTTGAGCACGTGTTCATCTGTTTCCACAAAAACAGAGATGACAGAGGTGGGTGTTCTCTGCACCTTCAGACACATTAAATTCCTTTTGATGGAAATGTAAGATTTTTTTTCAGTATCCCGTGGGTGAAACCTGTCTCCTTTATTTTCTAGCTGCACTGCTCCGTACTTTCAGCTTTTTGGGCTTTGAGATTGTGAGACCAGGGCATCCCCTTGTCCCCAAGAGACCAGATGCTTGCTTCATGGCCTACACGTTTGAGAGAGACTCAGCAGAAGAAGACTAGATTGCAATGTTTGCCTCTTTAGAGCTTTCTTGTTGTCTATAAAGATGATTCTGTAGAAATTTTGTCAACATCTTATTCCAGTCTATCTTAACTCTTGTACGAAACCTTGTGTGACCCAGCTGCTTTGGTGGTGAGATGTTGAAAATTTCAGACTCCACATCTTTCTCTGGATTTTTGTGCGCATGTTGTGGTTGTGCAAAAATAAATGCTCCCTCCAAATTTAGCAGTATATTTCTTGAAGTTTAATATTGTGTTTGTGATACTGAAGTATTTGCTTTAATTCTAAATAAAAATTTATATTTTACTTTTTATTGCTGGTTTTAAGCTGTTTAAAGACTTGCACTCTTGAAGAGGTGGCTCTGGAACTGCCCCAACCATTAAAGTTGCAGGTGTGGAAAGGCTTTGCTCGTTCTTTGCTTCACTGGAACTCATGGATGTGCTCTGACAGGGCTTGAAATAATCCAGCAATCCTGGAAAAGTCTAGACTTCTAGTGAATAATTAGCAGGTGTGGTAATTGGGACCAGTGATTCCCTGCTCTGCCAGTGTTTTGTAGGATATTCAGGGCGTGATTTGGTTGGGAAGTCTCGAGTGGAACACGATCAGCTCAGCCCATGGCTGCTTTAAATACCAAATACGCAAATTAAATACCTGGAATTTTAGTTCACATAACAGTGCAGCCTTTCCAGTGTGCCGGGTGACTCCAGGAATTCTGGCTGTGAGCTGGGAAGGTTTGTGGCACTCCTGCAGCTCAGTGGTGCCACTGAGGCTGGCCAGGCTTCTTGGGGGCGGGGGGGGACTGTGCTGGGGCTGCTCAGACACCCCTCGGTGCTCAGGATGGTGAGCAGGGGGGGGAAAGGGCTCCTTGTGATGCTGGAATTAACAAATCTTGAAGGTACAACAAATAAGTGTCCAAAGGAGATGAGCTTTAAAGTGTGGTATTTCCATGTTTGTAGTACTTGCAGGCTTGTTTGGCACTGTTGGAGATGAAGAATCTTTCCTCTATAAAACCTTGGAGCAGGGAATCCCTGGGATGGGTTTATTTCACCAGGTGTGAGTAGAAGTCTCTGAGTGGGGCCCTGGGAGATCTGAGTGCTGTGAAATGTGTGGGAGTTTAAAGTTTCCCCCACAGCCCATCCCTGGGCTCAGCAGTGCTGAAATCCCATGGAACACACGGAAAATTCCCTGAAACTCCTCGGAGATGCAGCACAGAATGACCTGGGGGTGTGTGAGCAGTGATGTGGTGCAAAGTGGGGGCTCTTGCTGGGCCCTTTAATTGGCTTTTCCCAATTCTCTTGTAGCCCTACAAATGTGCTCGTCCTGCAGGGATTTTTGGAAGGCCAGTGACTCTGGGAAACTGCAGGAAGCTGAGCTGGGGGAGGTTTGGGATGGAGCTCAGGGAAAGGTTCTTCCCCCCGAGGGTGCTGGGCACTGCCCAGGCTCCCCAGGGAATGGTCCCGGCCCCAAGGCTGCCAGAGCTCCAGGAGCGTTTGGACAGCGCTCTCAGGGATGCTCAGGGTGGGATTGTTGGGGGGTCTGTGCAGGGACAGGGGCTCACTCATCATCCCTGAGGGTCTCTTCCAGCTCAAGATATTCCAGGATCTCATGGTGGTAGCATGACCAGGGGAGGGTGTTTTTGTTTTGCTGAATTTCCTGTTCTCGTTACCTGGAAAAAAATCCCTGTTTTCCTCTGCAACGTGGTACCTGTGCCATGTTCTGCTTTCTGCAGGGACAGGAGTGTGGAATGTGCCTGGTCCTGCCTCCACGGGACATTTTGCTGACTTTGGATGATCCTGGCAGAAGGGGAAGGTTCCCCTTCCCTTTCCACCCAAGCTGGAAACAAGAGCAGGGATGCTGTGGGTCCTTGGAGCTGCTGGGCTGGGCCTGCAGGAGCCACGGGAGCGGGTTTGGCTTTGTCTGCCCGGGATGAGGGGCTGTGCCATGGCCTTTACTGCCCTCTCGTAGCCACGGCAAATACTGCAGAGAGACGGGGACAGCAGGGCTGGGCTCTCCCGAGCACCCCGTGCTGGCCCGAGAGCCTGGAAGGAGACCTGAGCCTCATCTCTGGCCAGGCAGTGCCTGTGCCGGGGTGGGTGGGGTCCAGGCTGGGCAGGGAAGCTGCACTGGGGGATTTGGGTGCTGCTCCAGGTGGGAGCAAACCAACCAGGGAGCTGGGACTGAGCTGTTCTCTGCATCTTGAGAGGTCCCAGGTCTGGTTTATTTTTGTCTTTTGGAGCTCAGGGACTCGAGGAGGAATCCCCCCCACTCCAGCCATGCCCCAGGCTCTGGGGAGCCACTGCCACATCCATGGGCACGCTCTGTCCCACTGTGAGCACAGCCCTGCTGCTGTCAGGTGATGGAGTCACTGAATCATGGAATTGTTTGGGTTGGAAAAGTCATCCTGAGATCATCACCATGTCCCCAAGTGCCACATCCACACATTTGAACACTTCCAGGGATGGTGACTCCAGCACCAGCCTGTTCTGATGCCTGATCACTCTTTCAGTGAGGGAATTTTTCCTGATACCCAATCTAGATGGCTTTGAGTGGATTAATAATTGCTGAGGAATAATTTAAATGACCTGAGCAGGGCTTTCACCATGCTGGTCCCTCAGCATCCCCGTGGATTTGGGGATTGGGTCCAGGCCCCACGTGCTTCACAGCAAGGAGCAGATGCCACAGCCCTGCCTTGGTGCCCATGAGCTCACCTGAGCTGTTCACCAGAGCCCATGGAGGCTGTTCTGGGTAATCACTATGGGGCAGAGAAGTTTGGCTTTGTGTTTCCCTCTGGATCCATCCCTGCAGTGTGTAATGCTGGCAAAGAAGCACATAAAGGACCGATGTTTGAGAGGCTCAGCTCTAGGTTTTATTGAAGCTGTATTTTTCCCTTTAAAATACCATTTTTTTTGTGATTGTACCACAAGTTGTCTCTGGGAAGCCCAGGCTGAAGGAGCTGTTGTTTCTCCTTTGCTGAGAAGGGTGAGCTGTGAGTGTTATTGAAAACAGCAAAAACCTGGTGACTGCAAAAAGGTTCTGAGGGGGTTTTGTACAAAGTCTGAACCCCATAAACTTTACTGGGGATTATCAGCCACTAAATTGGTGCTTGGGGCTCCCATCCAGCTGCCTTCCCTCAGATGTTCTGATAAACCAGACTTAGAGTACCAAGCAAAAATTGTTTGAGGGTATAAAACCACAGCCTGTGCTTGGGAGTTTGATCCCAGCTTCATAATTCATGGGCTATGAGGGGAGTGGGTTTAGTTTTGCAGAGCTTTCCCAGCGAGGAACTGGTGGATTTCATAGAATCATGGAATGATTTGAACTGAAAGGACCCTAAAAATAATTTAGTTTCAACTCCCCTGCCAGGTTTGGCCAGGCCCTCGTGAGCTCTTGGCTTTGGGTAGGCTGAACTGGAGGCTGGTTTAGGGATCATAGAGAACCTGGGTGACTTGGTAGAGGGTGTGTTCTGTGACCTCCTGGAAGTACTGGCAGCACAGCCACTCCTCCAGGCCGGGGCTGGCCCTGGCCTCAGCCGAGTTTTCTGCAAACCTCAGGAGCAGCAGAGCCCTCTTGACCTGCAGCCAGCTCTGGAGCAGCCCGAGGCTCTTCCTGCTCCTGGCAAAGAGCTCCTGGCGTGGCCCCCAGAGCAGCACCTGCAGGATGCCCCTGGCCTGCTCGATGGACACCCTCTGGTGGGGATCCCTGTGCAGGAGCAGCGTGGCCAAGCGCTTCAGCCCTGCCGAGTAGATGGACAGCAAGGGGATTTCGGGAAGCCTTTTGCTTCTGAAACCCAGAATGTTCTCCAGGGAGATGTCCACGTGCAAGATCTGATAGATCAGCCTGCCCACGTTGAGCTCAGCTGCTGCTGGAGTGGAGGGTGCAGCGAGACCCTGGCTCCAGTCCTGCTCCTGGCTGCTGGAACAAGGTCTTTGCTTCTCCTGCACCTTGAAGAAGCTGCTGATGAGCAGCCGTGGAAGGGACAGTCCTGGCAGCTCCCTCTGGCCCTGCTGGCCCCGGGAGGGACTTGGGCACTGCACCAGCAGCAGGTTCTCGGGGCAGAGGTCCCCCTGGGCCACGTTCTGCACCCGGAGGTGCTCCAGCCCCATGCAGAGCTGCAGGAGCAGGAGGCAGCCCAGGCGTTCGTAGTGCCCGGGGCTGGTCCTGTGCAAAGCGTGGGAGCCCTTCACAAAGTCCGCCAGGGTCTGCTGGGGAACCTCGGCACAAAGGAGCACCTGCAGCACAGCCCGGGGGGCAGGACAGGCTGGTTCCTCTCTGAAAGGGCCCTGATTCTGTTTTCCAGGGATTCCTGGGAGCACCAGTTCCTGCGGGAGGCGGTCGGTGAAGTGGCCGAGCAGGCGCTGGATGCTGCAGTGAGTCCCCAGGGAGCTCTGCACCCCCAGGCTGGAGCAGCACGGCTTGGGGACCTGCGGGGACACACAGGACAGGGCCAGCTGTGCAAGGACAGAGCCTTGGCCTGGCCTGGGCCACCCTGCCAGCTCAGGGCCACCAGCTCTGACCCATGCGTGGTGCTGGGGTCCCCCTGCACCCTCTGAACCCAGGAATGGAGCCAGGATGGCTTTGAGCAGAGCTGGGACACGGGGGGTGGTGCAGCCCCAGCTGGGCTGGGCTCTCATCCTGCTCTCCTGGGCAGCCAGCTCTGCTCCAGCCTCTGCTCTGCTGAGTTACCAGGACATGTCCCCCAGCAGGGCCATTTCTGACGTGTCCCTTGGCCCCACGGGAGCCGTCACCCTCCTCAGCCACCCCCGCCAGCAGCACTGTCTCATTCAGCAAATGCAGAAGTGGCTGCAGAAAGGGGAAGTGGCCCCAGTGTTGTGTCCCGTGGAGAAGCAATGCTCTCCTGGATCTCCTGACTCCCTCTGCACCACCCAGGGCTTTCACCCCGACTCCCCCCTTACCTTGGCTGCAAACTGCAGCTGGCTGTGCTCGAAGGTGAAGCCCACCCTGAAGTACCAGGCGTCCCCGCTCTGGCAGCAGGGCCGGGGGTCCAGGACAGCGAGCTCTGCCCAGCGCTTCCCTGCCAGCTCTGCCTGCAGCAGCTGCTGCCTCTCCTCGGGCCCCACCAGCTCCTCCTGCATGTGAGCCGAGAGCCGGGCCAGGGAGGCCTCCTGGCACCCCAAAACCACCCCACAGACCCCGGCCGGGCTCTCCAGGAGCTGGCCCAGCTCCCCGTCCGCTGTCCCAAATGTCAGCTCCTTCAGGCTGGCTGATGGGGCTTTCTGGGGGCTGCTTCGGGCCAGCGGCTCCCCCAGGCTTTGGGACTTGGTCAGGGGCTTCTTGGGTGCCCAGGAGGGTCTGTCCCGCGGGGGAGCCCCCTCCCCGAGCCGCAGCTGGGCTGGGGGGATGCTGTAGAGGATGCTGCCAGCCCGTGGCTCAGGGTCGCTATGGCAGCGGTGGAATGATGCCGGCTCCGGGAGGGACTCGGCTCGCTGGAGCTGCTTTTTGGGCAGTGGGGGCGGCTGGGGGTCCGGGCCGGGCTGAGGGAGGGGTCTCCCAGCGCCTTCCCCTCGGCTGGCCTTGCGGGGGACGAGGTGGGCCCGCAGCTCTCCTGGGGAGGGAGGGAGGGAGGGACAGACGTGACAGGGCAGAGGAGAAGAGAGTGGGATGGGATGGGATGGGATGGGATGGGATGGGATGGGATGGGATGGGATGGGATGGGATGGGATGGGATGGGATGGGATGGGATGGGATGGGATGGGATGGGATGGGATGGGATGGGATGGGATGGGATGGACGTTGTTCTTTGCCCCCCTGCGTATTTCCAGCCCCAAAGCCACACCCAACACCAGTCAGAGGGGTGACACGGGGGGAGGACAGGGACAGCGGAGGGGCTGGTGCCACTGTCCGAGGTGACTCCTCGGCAGGCAGGGGCACAGCGGGGTCAGGCCGGCACTCACCCACGTTGCTGTAGATCAGGGCTGAGTTGGGGGGCCGAGGGGGGCAGCCCCCCGGCGTGTCTGGCATGGGAGAGGCCGGTGCGGGGGCAGCCCGGCCCAGGCTGGCACTGCGGGGAGCGGAGCTGGCCCTGCCGGAGCCGGGAGGCAGCGTCACCCCCGGGCCCCGCTCCCTTCGCTGCCGGCTCAGGGAAAGAACGCGGAGAAAAGGGGAAGCAGCGGCCTGGGGAGCCTCGGCGGGGCGGTTTTGGGGAGAAACTCGGGGACTTTGGTGGCCCAGTGACTCCAGTTGCCGCACTGGGAAATCCTGGGAGTGGGCGCTGCCCGGGGGCTCCACACGCGCTGGTTCCCACCTGCATGGGACACACCCAGGGGTGCACAGGGGCTGATGTGTGACCTGCGGTCCCTGCCGGGTGACCCCAAGGAGGATACAGTGCTGTCAGGGATTTGGGAAAAGAGCAGGAAAAGCCTTTGACACCCCCAGCCAGGCCTGGGGGACAGCACAGGGGTGCGGGCATGGGGAGGGAGCAGAGGGAGCCCAAGGAGGAGGGCACTGGGATGGAGCCGCTGGGTTTCACTTCCGTGCCCTGGCACTGGCTCTGACTTTGCTGCCACTGGCGATACCGAAACCACGGTGGCTTTGCCTAAACCTCACCGTTCTGCTGGGACAGCACCGGCTGAGCAGCTCCAGGCTGTGCCCCCTGTGCCCCCCTGTGCCCCCCGGCACCCCGGCTCACTGCCGTGCTGAGCAGCTCCTTCGCCCTGTGCACAGCCCCCCGTTACCTGTGGGGTGTCCCTGGTAGCAGGGGGGTCCCGCGGGGCTCCAGCTCCACATCCCGGCCCCGCTGCAGCTCCCGCTGCCCATCCCAGCCCGTCCTGGCGCTGCCCATGGCGCGCTCGGGACTCGCCTTGCGCAAGGGCCGGGGCAGGATGTGCTTTCAAAACCTTTCAAAACCTGCTCCGTGCTCGGCTGGAGGAAGCCGGGGCTTGGCCTCGCTGGTCACCGTGTCACCGTCAGTGCCACCTGTGGATCTGTGTCCCCCGAGCTCTGCACCCCCAGGCTGGAGCAGCACGGCTTGGGGACCTGCGGGGACACACAGGACAGGGCCAGCTGTGCAAGGACAGAGCCTTGGCCTGGCCTGGGCCACCCTGCCAGCTCAGGGCCACCAGCTCTGACCCACGCGTGGTGCTGGGGTCCCCCTGCACCCTCTGAACCCGGAATGGAGCCAGGATGGCTTTGAGCAGAGCTGGGACATGGGGGGTGGTGCAGCCCCAGCTGGGCTGGGCTCTCATCTCAGCTCTGCTCCAGCCTCTGCTCTGCTCTGCTGCTCGTGGATCTTCACACTGCTCCTCCTTCCTGCATGGCTCCAGGGATGGCTTTAAGGGTGGCAGCTGCTCTGAGCAGGGACTGCCCTCACAAACCCCCCTGACATCACAGAATTATTTCCCCTTCCTCTGGGTTGTTACTCTGGGTGGGTTGGCAAGGACGAATATTTTCATTTTCTTCCATGAATTGATGTTGTGGGTTCAATTCCTGTAAGAGTTGGACTTGATGATCCCTGTGGTTCTCTTCCAACTCAGAATATTCTTTGATCTGTGATCTGTCTTTTGTTGGGATTTCCTGCAGCCATTGCATGACAGGAGCCCAGCCCTTGGAAATCATCTTTTTTTTTTCTTGTCTCCCAGAGCTTTACAGATGCTCAAAGAGCACCAAGTGACCCGACTCAGTTGCAGTTCTCAGGCTGCAGCAGGTCTGGAGAGCTCAAAGGTGTGAATTGTGATGTTCCTGCCCTTTCCACGTCCTGCTCAGGGCTTTGCCCACTGATTTTGCCTTTTCTTATCAAGGCACATGAGGAAGAGAAGAGGGAGAAAAAATCCTGGAAAAAATCCTCCCATTGGTGTCTGTCCCCTCTGGGATGAAGTCACTTTTTAAGCAGTCTAAATCCCAAATATTTCAATATTTCCTCCCTTCTATTCACTGTTCGAGACATCATTGGTGTCACTGTGGGTGCTGTGGGAAGGCACAGAAATCCTGCAGGGATTTCTCCTGGGAGCAGCGAGGTTGGGATGAGCAGGCTTTGGGAGATTTCCATGAGGAAAGTGGAAAATGTCATTGCTTGAGCCCAGCCATGCAACCAGGAGAGCAGGACCCTGGATCCAGGCACGTGTGCAGGGTTTGGGGGCTGGGGTGGGACTGGGTGGGTGCTGTGAGCCTGCAGTCACCCCTGTGAGGAGCCCACAGTTCCTTCCCGTGTGTTTATTTCTGTATTTCCCAGCCCACCCCAGGCCAGCCGGGGTTGTGGCTGTTGGCTGGGGCCGTTTCTGGGTGCTGAGGCCGTGTGTGAGAGCTGATAAAAAACCCTGTGGGGCTGAGTCACGCTTGGATCCAGCTCAGGGAGGAGGTGCAGGGCTCTGGGAGGAGACACAACCTGCACCATCCACCCCACGCTGCACCAGCAACACAGACTGATTTGGGTTGGAAGGGACCTCAAAGCCCACCCAGTGCCACCCCTGCCATGGCAGGGACACCTTCCACTGTCCCAGGCTGCTCCAATCCCAATGTCCAACCTGGCCTGGGACACTGCCAGGGATCCAGGGGCAGCCACAGCTGCTCTGGGCATCCTGTGCCAGGGCTCACCACCCTCACAGACAAGAAATTTGTTAGAAGCATCACTGTTTTTTCCCTAACGAATAAAATTACTGTTAAGAAGTACCAGAAAATGTTGGGAATAAAATGACAGAATTCCTGCCATGCCTGTGACCCTGCCAAGCTGGTGAGAAGTGGCCAGGAAAACGGGGAAAGCCAGGAACTGCCTTTTAGCTGTGAAATTCCTCATTTGTCTTATTACAACCAAGGAGAAAATGCCAAGTTTAAAAGACACCCAAGCCCTTAAGAAGGATAGTCCTTTCCTGTTGCCAACCTGTGTAGGACTGTGCAAAATGCTGATTTAATTCTCCAGGCCATGGGGCATCCCTGAATCCTTTGGTGGGCTCTGCTGCCTGCTCCAGGTGGATAAATCAGCTGCAGGATGCCCTGATGGCACTGCTGGCATTTGCAACTCTGGTCCAGGAGCTGCTGAGCCCCTTTCCCCCCAGATTTGGGGATGCAGGGAAGCTTTTCTTAGTGTCAGCCTTTTTGGTTTGTAAGGAAATTGGTTTCTCTTCTCAGTGGGAGATAGAATCTTTACATGCAGCTGATGGAAAATTGCAGTTTTCTAATTGTCTTTATTTTTTGCTGTTTTTTCCATGGCATTGTTCAGCAGCCCGTGGGTGCTGTGGGGATGCTCCATGCCCAGCTCAGAGCAGGTTGGGGGGACCCCTGGGGCACTGAACCCACCTGGGTGCTCTCTCAGCATCTCCATCCTGCAACTGACCCCCAAAAGGAGCCGGGGGTTTAGTCCCGGCTCCCACGGTGTCCCCACACCCCGGGCACAGGCGGGAGCTGTAACCTCGACCCTTCACCTCCCCGTGCCGTGCAATACATCTTGAAGCAGGAAATGAGAGAAAAAAACCCAATTTCCTCTTTCCTCCCTCGCAGCTCTGGCGCAGCCCGCGGGGGCTGCAGCCTCCCGGTTATTTGGCAACCAGGGCCACCCTCCCTCGTGTCATGGGGTGGGAGCTGGGAGCCTCCCCGGACCCCAGGGAGAGTTTGCGGGCTGGAATTTCGGGCTGGAGTGGCCCAGGGCCCGTTTCTCCAGCAGATGGAGGCATTGCTTTGCTTCCAGCAATGCGCTCCCAGTGCCAGCCCAGTGCCAGCCCAGTGCCAGCCCAGTCCGTGCCGGGAGAGCCGCAGCTGGGGCTGGCAGGGACAGGAAAGGGACACGGGGCTTTGGGGAGGACACAGGTGGCCCCCGGCCAGCGGGACAAGGGGACACTGGGCTGGCTGAGCCCGTGGTGGGGACAGCGATGGCCGCTGTGCCAAGGGCAGGGGTGGCCTTGGGGGGCCGGGCTGTGCCTGGGGCTGGGGGGATGGGAAGGGCACTGGGAGGGTCACTCTGTGGAGGAGGAACCGCCTCCCCCTCCCCACTGCCCCACTGCAGTGCCCTCCCCCCGTGCCTCAGTTTCCCCAGCACAGGCTCCCAGTGCCCAATTTCCCAGCCCCATCCAAGGGATTTGGGTTCCGTGTGTGCCTGTGCACATCCGTGCACTCTTGTGTGGATGTGACTCCTTTTAACCCCCCCAAACACGAATTTTCCTCCAAGCAGGACTTGAGGTGCTGACTTTGCACCCTCCATTTTTGGCACATCCTTATAAACACTGCATTAATAATTAATAATCGATTAATAGCAGCAGCAGTTTGTTAGCACACGTGCATTAATCATTTATTAGTTATTAATATGGACTTTGGTACCCTCAGGGAGGTGGTTTCACATTGTTTATGCATGGTTTGTGGGACTGATGGTGGTGACAGACTGAGGGGCTGCAAATCCCAGCAGAGCCCGGGAAGGGGGAAAGGTCTGCTGGAATTCTGGGGCCTTCCCGGCTTGCAGCAGGTCTGGGGAGCTCAGAGGTGTGAATTGTGCTGTTCCTGCCCTTTCCAGGTCCTGCCCAGGCTTTGCCCACTGATTTTGCCTTTTCTTATCGAGGCCCATAAGGAAGAAAAGGGGGAGAAAAACCCAAATGAGCCACAAAAGTCCCTTTTTTTTCGTCTTTTTTGTTTTGCTCACAAATACATCTCACATGCTTGTTACATAGAAAACTGGGCCAGGTCTGCACTGCCCTTTGCTCCCACTGTGAGGGTCCATGCCCGACCCCCTCCCCGCCCTCCCACCCCTCCCCCACCCCCCTCCCAAGGTTAAAAAAACCCCAGACACCAAACAGGACCCTGGTAGGACACGGCATGCACGGCTGGGGGGCGAGGGGCACCGGGCATGTGGGGCCAGGGGACAGCCAGACCCATGGCAGAGAGGGAGGGAGAGAGAGAGGGATGATGGATGGATGATGGATGATGGATG